TTTTCCTTCCAAAAAGGCCACAGTTCCTTCCAAGACTATATCATTAACATTGCTTGTGTGTTCAAATTTTTTGTCAATTCTTACTGTTTTTAATTAAATATCTTTTTTTTTGGGCCTTCTCTTTTTCTTTCCTCATCTCTTCTTGACCCTCCCACAGCTCTCACAAAGGAGGGTTACATGGAGAGGTTATGTTCCACCAACCACTCCTCCTCTTCCATTGCTTCTTCATCTTACTGGTCACCACCCTTGCTGTGCCCCAGCGGCCGCTCCTGCTGCCAGTGCCTCCTGCGGATTCTGATCACCCTCTACCTCTTCATCTTTGTTTGTTCATATGTTGTGTTTCTTTCCATCAATTCAGCGGGAAAGTCCACGAAAAATGCAAACTCACAGAGTCATTCGTTTGAGTTTGAGCTCTCCCACTCCACTCCTTCCTCTGTGCTATGTAAGTTGAGAGACTCATCTGCTCAGATAACACTTTCTGTCTCTCCCTTTCCTTCTGCCATCATCCTGCCTTTATTTTATTTTTATTAAAAAAAAAAAAAACAGGCATATATTGTGATCTGACTGGTTTCAAGTGACCTATTATTACTTTGTCAGGTTTTCTTATTTGTATAAAGTGTCATCACCTTCAAGAACAGTGTAAATAGGTATGTATTTTGGAAAGTTATCTTGCAGAGGTTATCTGTGGATTGGACTAGAACTCTTCATGTCTTCCTTGGATCCTGAATGGGCCAACAGATCAATTTTCCGTTACACTTATGAATGTCATCAAGTTGCTTTCTTTAGCAACGCCATTGATAAAGCAACTGTAAACCTGCTCTGCTGTGTTATTAACATGCAAAACTTATTCATAACACCTGAAAACTTATTTAATGCTTAAAAAGATATCTAGGCTGATTAATGACAAGTTAAGAAGATATATCTAGGGTGAAAAGATCATGTTTGAACAGTTTAGATTTGAGAAGGTCGCGGTATTAGTAGTTTGTTGGCTAGTGCTGTTATTAATAGTTTGGTAGAGCAAAGGCCTCATCAGAGCATTTTTCATTTTGTTTATAGATTAATTCTGAAATTCTTGGAGGGAACCTGAGAGTTGAAACTGGGAAAATTCCCTGAGAATGTAGGCCCTGTTTGCCAAATTCTGGTCTTGGATCCTGTGCTAAGAATGGATATTTGCTTTGATAAAGATGAGGTCAGAATGACCCTTAAAACATGAACTGTGTGTTACAGACCTGAACCTGATCATAAATTTGAGTGGGAATTTGCTGGGTGCTGCCAACAGAGGTGAAAGGAGAATCAGTTCCCGTATCTCAGTATCTGAAGATGCACCAAACTTGCTTCTGTTTTTTTATTCTTTATACTTGGAAATACCTTTTCCCAATAGCTGTAGTAGAAAGAAATACAGAATGGAGGATCACTGTTGGTTTTCCATTGTAAAATGCTAACTGAAAACAAAAAGATTTCTCTGATTGAAATAGTACAGTGATCAGGTTGGAGTACAATTTAAATAAAAAGGTGTACACAGGCAAAGCCAATCAGTGTCTTGGTTTTCAGGACTTTAAACGTTTTCTTGAGGCGGCAGCCAGGCTCCATGACTAATGTAATATGTTCAAAAACCACAGTGCGGTATCTTGTCTCTACAGTGACCACGATCCTTAATGCCTTGTTTGTTCTGTCATTGCCTTTGTCATTTACATATAGATAGAAAAGAATTTGAGCTTCCGAAGAACATATGTTACATATATTCCATCAAATTTGTAATGAAAATTTGGTAATTTTCTTCCAATTTAATAGTGCCAATTGTTTCTGTCAAGTATTGTCTGAAATAGCAAAACTGTCTTCCTACCAATATCATTGTCACCTCAGCTCATTTTCTGCACCCTTCTTTTTCTCCTTTGTCCCAAGGAATAGTATAATAACACTTACTTCACATGTTCATCAACCCAAGCTTTTCTCATTTTATTCTCTTCCCTCTGTGGCTTCCAGTCTCCTTACATTTTTTTCCTTATCGAAGTCTGGTTCTCCCCTGTTTTCCTGGTCTTCCTGTCTGCTGCTTCTCCTTTCTACACAAGTTATTTATAGACTGAAATAAATTTGGTCTTTATTTGTATTCATTTCCCCTGCACACAACACAAAAAGTGCAAAATGTTTTTTTAAATTAAAAAAAAAAAATCAATAGTTTGTATAAAAGCCCAGCTGCTGTGGTGGTTTTCACCTGTTCTGTGGTATCTGTTGTTACTGAATATCTCATATTCCCCTGTTCTTGACTGCTTTGTTCTTTTAATGTTCATTGGGATTTCAGATAATGAAGAGCTGAGAATGAGGGCAATCTTGCACATAGGGTAAAACATTTCTGGAACTCCAGCTTCTGAATTGTGCTGCACTTACGCCTTGGGTTCTTGCAACTCGGAGTTGCTTCCTCCCTATATGATTACATCACTAAATATGAAGGTGGAGACTTCTTGGACTACCTGTGTGTTTATGTGTGTACATGTGTTACTGAACAGAGAGTGTAGCATGGTTGCTTTCCTATACCAAGTTTCATATGGTATTTGTCGTTTTGTAGAAGACTTGAGCAGGTTGAAAGGCAGATGACTCGGCAGCATCCTTTTGTCCCTGATGGTCCCCTTTGTGTGCTGAGAAGTTGTTCCGCAAGGGCTGGAAGGACTGATGCTGCTGCTGGAGTCAGACAGTGGTTGAGCAGAGCCAGTGGAACCGCCTTATTCCCATTTCCTTCCGTAGCTGGCTTGCAGAGCTTCCTGGTGGATGTTCTCTATCTTCAGCAGGCACAGCTCTTCTACATGTTAACACTGGCCAATGAAACTTTGCCTGAACCCTATCAGTACTGATAGGTAGTTCCTATTACAAGACTTCATGAAAACACATCATTTACAATGCAGTTTATTTTTCGAATAAAAAAAAAATGGAGAAAAAAGCAATTTTAGCAGTATGGTTCCGTTTTTCACTTTTGATATTGATTTACATCTTGCAATGTAATAGTAAAAGTTTTGACCAAAATACATTTTGACTTACCTAAAACTTGTTTTTTCAAAATGTATGCTTGCAAAAGTTTCCATTCTCATTCTGAATGAAAGCAAGTCTCAAGAAACTCACAGAGAAATACTTCCACGCATATATCCAAATGGTTTTAGATCATGCTACTGCAGGCACAAACAGATGACAGCGAATTGAGTTATCACCCAACTAAACTGAGCTGTTGCACACCATTTATTGAAAAGGAAAAAAACACTCCAGACGCCGTTGGATTTGCTTCACTAAATGTTAAGCAATAGAATGTATTCAGATGCTCACTGTTTCTTGCTGTTTCTTGTCAAAATTTATATAACATGTAAGTTAACTATCAGCTAGTCATGGTAAAACTTGTCAAACAAATAATTGATATCAGTAAAGAAGGGAATATTATCAGTTGTTGGTAATCAGTTGCATAACCAGGTGCAAGTAAAATGATGTGTTTTGTGGTTTGGTCTCTCGTGTGTGGAAAGTACAGTACGTATGTAGGCCTTTTTATGGCTTTCATTAATCTATGACTGATGCCAGGGCTTTGTAAGAGCTCCGAAGATGTTTTATATCACTTTCCATTGTCTGATTTAATAATCTGTAATTTCACGGTGTCTTACTGGGTTCTGTTTTCAGGTTATTTACTGAAATTCGTTAGCTTAGTTATATTTATACTAGATGTAGCATGAAAAATCAGTGATCTTTTTACTGCATTATGTCTGCATATTCTGGCTTTTATTTGCAAGTATTTCCAAAAACTGCACTATCATCTCTTGTACTGAGCCATCCTAGCATTTGACTTGTGCTGGCAGTGCCCTACCATGTCCACAGTTTCTTCTGTCTTATTTGAAACATATGACAGTAGAGTCATTGCTGATTGGCAGAGTCACATCTTTTCATTAAAATTCTTTGTTATTCTTAGCAACACTTAGAAATTGGGCGGTTAATACTCTGAATATTCTTGTTTTGCAATGCTATGTATCAGCCAGCAAATAATCACACACACAAAAAATTCTTACATGATATTTATATCCTCTTTTTCTCTATCACTTCTTTCATTTCTGGTTTCTTCTTTTTGGTGTTTTTTTTTTTTTTTTTTAGGCTGGAGATGTGTTAAGTCTGCAGTTGAGAAATAATAAATGGAAGGGCAGAAAAGAAATGGAGAGGTGATTTAAAACTGTTTTAGTTCTTGCCATACTTAGGAGGGTCACTAACTTTCTGCTTATGCTCCCCAACATTTTCTTTTTGAAGAAGAATTTGAACTCTCAGTGCTTTGGTATTAACATCTTGCATATGTATGGGGATGGCGTGCACACACATCTATTCCTGCGTATAGCTATGTCACTGCATTGTAGGTAGACACACATGTGTGTGTGTGCACTACATGAAATCCATGGGGCTTTGCAACAAGTGTTTTCATTATAGGCTCAGGACCTAAATTGCTCTTTGCTTAAATGTACATGTTTGGTCAAAGTGAAATTAAGTGTTGCATAGATTTCTGATAATCAGTATTATATGTTTACAAGCTAGAAGGGTAAATGTGCATATGAATCATTAGTGCATCACTTAGGAAATGATGATGGGCTTCCTTTAGCACAAAGTAAAGAGTTGGGTTGGGCTTTGGTGGTTTTGGTTTCTGTTTTGCTTTTGTTTTTAAACGGTAGGTCCCTCAGTGAAAGAAAGAAGATTAAAACCTTGATAGTGGAGTGTGTTATTGATCTTGATGTGTGTTTAATTTCCTCGTGAATATAGACATATGCTGAGGCCAAAATAGTGTAAGAGTATTGTAAATAGTGTAAAACTGCTGTAAAAAGTGTAAAAAATGTTTTGTCTTCTGGTTATAGAAAAGGAAAATAAATGGCAGTAATATCAACTGAGAAATGATAGAATGCCTTTGATAAGGCTGTTACTGTGACAGCCTTTCAGCTGGGACCTTTCACTTTGATTTGCATTTTAAGAATTACTGTATTTATATCTCTCTTTAGCTCGTAAGCAAGAGATTATCAAGGTTACCGAGCAGTTGATTGAAGCTATCAACAATGGGGACTTTGAAGCTTACACGTAAGTTTTAGCGAGAGTGGGAGCTGCTGTTTCAGTGTGGCTGTGCATGGGTATGTGTGTGCTGTTAAAATTCAGTCTCAGATGCCCCCAAGGAAAGTAGGACTTGATCACTGCATTGCATCAGCTTTTGCTAGCCTAGTTGCCACTTTCATAGGTGATGCTAGTGTAAATCTATTGTATTTGCCTTGGGAGCCAGAATTAAAAACTGACACAAAATATGTAGTGTTCTTTCTAGGAGTATGAATGTAATGTCATGTCTTAAAACAGAAGTATTTATAATGTACAGAGATCGTTACTTAGCAGAATCCCCTTTGTAATAAAAAACATTGCCAATGACCATGTGGCATTTAGCTTCCACCTGCCTCTACTGAACACTGCATTTATGTGTAAGAATTTACTGAACAAAAATGGTCTGAGTTTTGTCAATTTTCCTGTGCAGTGTCTCAAATCCATCATTGTATCCTTTTCATCCTACGTTGGAATAGAGGAACGATGCTTCATAAGCACTTTTCAACATTTCTTTTGTTCTGTGTTGCTTTGGGTGGCTTCTGCGCTGTTGTGGCCCAAGCTTCACAATTCAGCTATGTCACTTGTTTTCTTGTCACCCAGGAAGCCTCTTTAAAAACTTTCTAACATGTCAGGTAAAAATTCATATTATTGCATTAAAACTATACAGCATTTGTTGTACAGATGTCAAGTGGAAACTTATTCTGAATTCTTGTCTAAATTTTAGCAGATTAAAGATAAGTAAAGATCTTTCATAAATGATGGTGTCAGCCTTGAAAAATGTACTTTGGATTGCACAGAGGCAGACAATTTTCAGAGGCACAAGCACAATTTGATGGTGTAGTACCAATGACTTGGAGGGCCTCTTTGGTACTCTTTTCTCAAAATATGATTTATGTTAAGACTGGTCCAGCTGAAGTAAGCTGCCAAAGTTAGATTTACCTGAAACCAGAACTCCCATTACACTCCCTGTGCCATGGGCTGAAGGAGGCATTTAGAAAGAATCTGCCCAGTGTTGTATTACATCTAATGGCATGTGTTTATTGCAGCAGTTTCTTACTTTCCACAGAAAAATCTGTGATCCAGGCCTTACATCCTTTGAACCCGAAGCTTTGGGTAACCTAGTAGAAGGGATGGACTTTCACCGGTTCTACTTTGAAAATGGTGCGAAAAAATTATTTTTCATCTCTCTGAATCTTCTGCTCCTTGTGATTGTGTCTCTCTGATCATCAGCATTTTGATTTGGGATTTTTTTTTCTTTTTATGTAATTGATTTGGGTAGAGAGGTGGTTATTTTTTCATCTGGAGTTTTGCTGCATCTATTTTTCCCTTCTGTTTCTGCTTTGTTCATTCAGACATCATAGGAGATTTCATACAGTGGAAGAAAGTTTCAGGTATTTGGAAAGGCAAATTTAAAATTCCCTGCTCTTTATACTAGCATCTGCAAACAGTTGCATAACATCTCACCAGGATGATCATCATGTTGAAATATTATTAAAAATTCAATTGGTTTTCTTATGGAAAGGGAAAAGCACACTTCCTTTTCTGACTGTACTCATTTCTACTATATTTTTGAGCTATTTGTAAATGGTTATCAGTAAATTGATTTTATTACTTAATATATGCTTATATAGACTTGCATACTTATATGAACTTAAACTCTAAATACTAAATATTACTTTGTATCTTGTTACTTAGTATCCTCTGTGTGTGTGTTTTGTTTCCTAGCTTTATCCAAAAGTAATAAGCCAATCCACACCATTATCCTCAATCCTCACGTGCACCTCGTGGGTGATGATGCTGCCTGCATTGCGTATATACGTCTAACCCAGTACATGGATGGCAGCGGGATGCCAAAGACTATGCAGTCCGAGGAGACACGGGTCTGGCACCGTCGGGATGGCAAATGGCAGAATGTTCACTTTCACCGTTCAGGGTCACCAACAGTACCTATCAAGTAAGGAACAGTTTCAAAGCACAAGCGTAAGTTATGTAGGTCACACGAGATAGTCTAATAGCTGCTTTTGGCCTTAAAGCCTATGAAGTTGCCCTCTTGATAGTGTCATTTCTTTGTGCTCATTTATGTGGTGTCAGGAGTGTGCTTAAAGTATTCATGCGAATATTTTTAGTAATAATGATTTTTGTTGCTGTCATTTTTGACAATGATGCCTTCTGATCTTAGCCCTGAACTAAGAGCTTGAAAAGCAGAAAAATGTTTTAATGGAGTTAGTGCCTGATACAAGTCATGCAAAATAGGAGTGGAAAATCTCATTAGAGGAACCAGGGAGGACAGAACGAATAAAGAGTGATAAGATATATGGAGCTGTTAGAGATGGTTGGAATATTTCAAAGGATAAAGTAACATCTACTGAAAAAACATAATTTGAGCAATTTTTATGTGTGGTTTCCAGCCATCTCTATCTACTTAGACCTAACTATGTTCTCTCCATGTTGAACTTGAGACAGTTTACATATTTACTTTATAAATTCAGGCATAAAGCTATCTATCCTTCTCTCATCTGTTCTTCCACACTCCCTTTGCAGAGCTGCTAGGCAATCACTATTCTATAATTGTTTCCTGGCCATATGGGTAAGCCTGGAACCTGCTGTCATCGTTCATCTATTCGTTTCATTCTGGCATCTCCGCACATTGAGTCACAGACTGACACCAAGGGTATGAGAGGCCATTCACAAACCTGGGTTCCCTGAGCTAAATTTTGAACAGTGTTAATTAGCGCAAATTCATCATTGCAACAACAAATGGAGAGTCACAGCTTCTTCGTGAGGTTGTGCTCCAGTCCTTTGCTTTTCTCCTGCTTACAGCTTTCCCCAGTGCTATCATGTCCCTTGGGGCCCAAGCTTGCTGACTTCCTCTCTAAGCAGACACACTTATGTTAGACTGTTTCCAAATTATAGAGCACTGCTATAGACTTTATTTGGCCCAGGTGTGAGCCCCTTATATTAGATGTAACTATATTTGTATGAAGCATCTTCTTGCAACAACATTCTCCCGTATAAAATAGTATTCTGTGAAATGAGTATTATATAATAGGTTTAAGTGTAAAACTTCACTGGTGATAGAATACTGGCTTTTTGGGGCATGTCATTCTTTGTTTTTTTTGCATCCTATCTGCAATGCCAGTATTTTAAACAAATACCAAAAGAGTAGTTATGATGTTTGAAACATTAGTATTAGTAAATGGTATTAATAAACAGTAGTGTTACTGAGATATTTTTGGTGTATTTTGTAAAGGAGTTTTTTGTCAAGGAGTCCAACCTGGCTATCCATAGGGAAGTGTGAGCGTAAGTGAAAGGGGCACAGCTGGCCCAGTGCAGCCTGAGCAGTGAGTGGGTGCATCAGGTTGGCAGACACTGAGCTAGGGAGCACTCTGATCTCTGCCATGTTTTTGTGTGTGTGGTTCTGTGTTTTGTTTGGGTGTGCTGTGTTATTTTTTCCTTCTTAATTTATTTAACTTAAAACATATTTATTGGAAATAATCATGAATATACATGAAGAAGGTAGCTTATTACACTTACTTTTAAGCAACAAAAACAAAAGGGAATGAAATAGTAATCTTACGGTTATGGTCAGTATAGATTTTTTTATAGATTATAGAATCTTGCCAATAATTCCTGTGCTGAATAGATTTTACTACTCCTTCTGTTTGAGGTACAAGTGTTTTAATAGGAGCCTAATGTTCATGTAACATGTGAGATGTGTTGCAGTGTGCTCTGTTCTGCACTTACTGCTCCTATGAACACTTACCAGAGCTGGAGTTTCTCTGGAAGTTGAGGCTTCATCTGGCTGCCACAAAGCAGCTCCTGGCTGTGAGGTCACACAGAGAGAGGAGGCAAAACTCAGCAAAATGTAGATGTGAATTCAGATCTGGGATTTGCTCTATAAAAGCTGCACCAGTATTCAGGATTCATGTAATGCCAACTCTTTATTGCTGGTCATGCTAATTAAAAAAAAAAGTTTGGGGGATTAGTAAGGATGGAATGGTTAGTAAGGGTGAGAGCAAAAGGCTGAAAGGTTTGGGGGTGTTTTTTTTTGTTTTTTTGTTTTTTTGTTTTTTTTTTTTTAAGCATAGAGGCTTGTGTCTGTCTGATAGTGCTCTGAGCTTGTGGAATCAGACGGAAGAGCTTTCAGGATTTGGGGAATGTAACTGAACTGAAAAGGTCACGCAGGAGCAGTGGCCCAAAGCCTTGGCACATAGCTAGGGTTTAAGGAGAGATGCTCTGGAGATTAAAGTGTAGCAATAGGTAGATCCTCTGTTAGCAGAGGCAACATATTGATGTAAATGCCTTGCCTAGCCCCCATTTTAAATTCAGAAGGTTTTTTTGAACTCTCTTCTAGTACTGTTCTAAAATATCATTGCTCTGATGGTTAAGAGCTTTACTATGACTCCTAAGTTTTTTTGCTACGCACATTGTATTGTTGGTTGTTCATCATCCTTCTTCTTTAGTACGGGAGACAGCTGTGCAGATAGGAGACATTTTATTTGAAGAATGATTAGAATCACTTCTGATCTCCCATTTTGATAGGGTAAATAAAACATGCTGCTTTGCTTGGCTTTGTGTGGTAGAATCTGTTTTCCTAGTTCCCCAAGTAGCGCTCTGCTGTGTCTTTTCTGGTGTAAGGTTTGTCTTTTCAGCAGTTTGAGTTCATCTGAAATACTGCATGCAGTTATGCTCACATGTTAGCAGGGCTTTATTTGTCTTCAGTTGCTTCCTTGCTGCTAAGATTGCCATGTCTGCTGTGTTACAGCATGATTACTTTCATCATCTGTATCACATTAGCAGACCATCTAGGATAGACATGAATTGATCTTAATCTGCCATGTCCAAGGAATGAGTTTATAACGCTTTGGGTGAGTGTGCAGCCCTGTGCTTCCCGCTGTTTAGCATAATGTTTGTGGATCAGCCTTTCCCTCTGTAGCTAGGCATTAGTCTTCCACCCTTGTGTGAGTGAGCCACACGAGATGGTCCTGCTGCATATACTCAGCGTGTTAACAGAAGTAGTGAGTTTGCTGTACCTTGCAGTTCCCTTCCAACCCAGTCATTGTCCTTTTCCTTTCAGCTACTTTACCTTGTTTTAATCCCCATCTTTTCAAGTTTTACTTCCCATGTGGTGCCATGTCAGGATTCACATTCTGTGACTATCATGACGATCGGAATATCATAATATCTTTTAGCATGTCTCAACGTTCACCTTCACTTTTCCCAATGAAACCAGTAGTGCATAAATAACCCAGTTTGGAAGATGACAGAAGTTTAGTTGAAGTATTGCTCCGTGTTATTGTTCCTCACTTGTATTCTAAGTCTTCGCAATTTAAAATTACTTCTTTCAACATTATCAAAATGCTGTAGGTAATAATGACCCTTATGCAAGGGAGAGACAATTTTATGTACATCGTCTGAAGAAAAATTTCAAATCTAATGAACTTGCAAAAGCAATTGTAGCTGTGATCAGGTATAAATCTGAGGATGAAATCGAGCTTTTTAGTAGGTATAGGTACCAGAAAAGGAGATGCTTCCATATGGCAGTTAATTTGGAGATTAGTATGAGCACAAAATTACATCATTTATTTATTTATGTATTGTATTTTTTTACTGTTAGTCAAACCAGCAACAACTGGCAAATGTTGTTTTTCCTTTGGTCCATTGCTTCACTCTATTTATGTAATTTGGTTGATAGTAGATCTTTATATTGAGTGGTCTTAAGAATTTTTTGGTATGTATTTTTTGTGTCTGCATATAAACAAAAGAGTGGTTTAAAATACCTGCAGTCAAAGAGCTATTGGACCTCAAACTGGCTCTCAAATTCAGACTTTGAGACTTATACTGACTCACTTATCACTCTTTTCACTTTCCTGTGATTTCGTAAGTTAAATACAGCACCAACAGCAGGAAGACTCAAGTAAAGCATTTCTTCTGTGTTTGTACAGTGCCTAGCACAGCGGAATCCCAGTCATGACTTCGGCCCCTAGATGCTACGGTAACGAAAATAATATTAACAAGCTGAAGTAGTTACCTGCTCTCCTACACCTTCCTTTCACTTTCTTTTTATGTAATGCTTCTAGCATGTCTTGCATGCAGATGACACCTGGTTCTTCCTTGCTGTTCTGTTCGTTTTTTGTATGAGAAAAACGTTGGCTGCATCCGTAATGTACATGTTAAGGAAGCAAGTTAAAGGAAGGTTCGCTCTTGAATTCAGACCTCCGTCCTTCGAGAAACTGATTAAGGCAATTTCACAAACTGCCTCAGCTTCCCTCTTTCTTTTAACAGCTTTTCTGGCATGTTGTAAAGATTAAAAATATCTGTAAAGTGTTTGAAAAAATAAAAATGCTTTTCCTGAGAGTTTGGGGTTTTATTTTGTTTGGATTTTTCTTTTTCCTAGTGATGTGTTAAATGATCTGGAGAAGGTTTTGTTCAATAGTATTGGCTAACACATGAGCATGTATTGTTGTCTGGTGGTGATGGTACCTCAGTAATGGCAATCTTTTTTCTCTCCTTCCTCCTTCTAGCTAAAAATATCAGCGGTGCCGCTCTTGCATTCTGTGTACCCAACGCGCCTGATTGATTACCATCTTGGCCATCCTGTTGTCTTCATGCATGTTTCTGAGTGCATGAAGTCGTGAAGGTTCTTCATGTAACACATTTGTGATGCACCATTTTGCTACATATTCCATCTGTACACTGTTAACATTTCAATGAAGGTGATGTTCCATGCAAATAGAAAACAGCCAGGCATAAACGTCAAACATTTGGTGTACAGCAGTAGATATAGGAGACAGACATTTGTCATTTTTTTTCTCCACTTATGCCAAGTTTTGACTGACAACTTTAAAAGTTATCCCATTTATAAAAAAGAAACAAGAAAAAAAATTACAAAAAAATACCCTTCCTCAAAAATATATTTACCCTCTTTTTTTAAGAACTGTTTTTTGACTCTTCCTTATTCCCCAGTTTTTTGGATTTTGCTTTGGTTCTGGTAGAAAGGGATAGGTTTTCCACTGACAGCTGTGTTACTGTAAAACAGATTTTTATTATGGCACGTAGATGGACAAAGTCACTGACAAATGTGGAATGATCATATCTTGGCTTTGTTCCAGCTGAAGCCTTCTTAGTTATTAGTCTGTGTGAACTGGAAAAATCTCCTCATTTGCTGGTGTGGTCAGTTCTGAATTAACTGGTAATGATCTGCCTAGTCAGCAACTTCTTTCCATTTTTTTTCCCCTCTATTTTCTCCTTCAGTCTTCACCTTTGCTTTCTTACTATGCTAATTAAAAATTTATATTGGATGATAAAGTAAAATTAAAAATTGTGAGGAACTAAGTGATGATTGAGGCAGATTTTGATTGTTGAAACAGATAAAGAAAAACAGATTTTTATTGCTTTTAAGGAGTATTGTAAATTTAAGGAGGCTTTAGAACATTTAAAAATTTTGTTTAAAATATAATCCAGTTTTGTTGTTAGTATACTCTAGAAATATTAGGCCTTCAACCTTAGTATGAAAGTTTATTTACTTTCCAATATAGTTGTTGCTTTTCTGGAAGTATATTATGAATACACCAGGTTTCTAATAAATCTGTAACACTTTACCACAGGTTTATTTCTTCCTCTTCCTCTCTCTTCCTCCCTGCCCCTCAGTTTGCTCTTGGCTTGTGAAAGTCATTGCACAATGGACACTGTTAAGGACAACATTTTTTTGCAGCATTACCAATTTGTTTTGTCTTTTGGGTTGTTGCTGCACAAATCTCTGCACTGTGCAGGGAATGCTTTCTTGTCAGTTTAGAAAAGAAACTGTCTAACAGGGACTATTTTTGCTTCCCTTATGTATCTGTGAAAGTATATTCTTGTAAGCATTTAGATTTATTCCCTTTCAGTTTTAATAGAAAAATACAGGGATTGATTATTTCTCTTTTTTTTTTTTTTTATTTGTTAATTGTTTCATTACCAACAGGACTAACTGTTTTCTGCAGCGCTGTATAGTGCATGGTATCTCAGTCAATGTTCTTTTTAGCAGGTAACAATTTGCAACTCTGCAGCTGGAAGTTTTTAAAATGGGAGAGCTTCTTGATTTGTATAATTTCATGTTTCTGTATTGATTACTGATCAAAAGCAGTTCTTAAACATTTTGGTGTTGTTACTAGTGGATGTATGGTAGATGGATTTAAGCTTCTCTGATAATTACTACATGATTTTAAACAATATATATTTAAAATAAGCACCTACAATAAATGTGTTGAGCCATATTAACCTGCCAATGGGATCTGTGAAAAAAGTAATGGCCTCATTTTGTTTTGTTTTGTTTTTTTCTCATTAATTTTTACTTTTTTCGTGAAGCGGCTATAAGTGGCATAACTGTATTTAAAATTAACGAATTAGGTGTAGGGTGGTTTTTTTATACTTCTAACATAGCATGTGGTGTTGACATATTACTGTAGATCAAGTTTGTCTTCCACACCGAGATGTGAGGAAATCGTGATTTGTTCTCTCCACCACAACGGAATTATACACTTACCTTCTGTCATTTTGGAACACTGCAGTTTACCATGGGACACAGTGTACATATTTCTTGCCATAATGGTAAATGATGGATATATTTAAGGATTAATAAATTTGTGATTTCTGCTGAAATTGTGCTTGTGTTTTAATTTCACAATTCACTGTGGATTTGCATTGGAGAATGTGTAGTTTCCAGTTGAATTGGGAAGTCAAAGATATAGATAATCTCTTTCAAGCCCAGTTTGCAATTTGAAACTACAAATATTAGCTTTCCTGATTGGTCTCTTGAATAGTTCTACCTAATTGCCTTTTCCTAAGGACCAGATATATACTGGTTTTTGTTGTACTTTTGTTGATGTTTTTTGCACATACCTTGTATTTGTAGATACATATGTAGAAATGATTTATACATTTTGCACTTTTCTAAAGCCTTCCGGCTGTATTCCATATGTTTGATCAATAACGCAAGATGCTATATGAGCCTTATTGTATGCTTACAGTTGCAGAGCTTAAAATGGACTGATAGTACATAATTAATTGGGTTTTAAAATAGTGTACTGGTTTAAATTTTTCATGTATACCTATTGTGATTATTTAGGCATTCAACTTGAGTCCTTCTTACTATTAGAAAAGAGGGACTGAGTGGGCAGAGGAAAGAGCAGAGCTTCCATCTTTCACAAGTCATGAAATCCAGAACTGGGTCATTTCTCCTGTTCTGCGCCAAGAGGAGCTTGGTTAGGAGTCAGAACCTGTAGTTCTGGTTTCAGTGCGACAGTGAAGCAGGTGTATTGCCTGTGGAAGGAGCTGAGAATATTCCTGTTCTGTGAAAAATTCAACACTTGATACTTTCTTGGTGGCATTTTGCTCTCTCTGTGCGTGTGTATATATGTGTATAAACAACAACAACAAAATGGTTATGAGAGAGCTCAGATTTAGGATATTTCAGGAAACCTCAAAGGAAGTAAAAGTGGTATAGTCTGTTGGATCATTTTATGTTTGTCATGTCACTTCTACCTACTTAGTTTACTCATTTTTTTTCCAGTCAGTGCTGTTCCAGAAATTAGTTAGACTTCCATTTTAACCGTGTGTGCTTGCAGTGACCTGTTTGAAAGTACTGGAATTTCTGCTAATTTACAGGTATGTAGATAAGAAGAGTTGAACATATAAAACATTATAACTAGAAAGGGGATGAGGAGAATACATTTACAAAATAGTAGGTTGACAATATGGTAGGGAGTAACTTTTTAATTGTTTCAGATGTCTTTTTGTAGCACAAGTATTTTAATGTGCTGCCTCCTGGTGGATTTCTGTAATCATTTTTTTTTCTATTTAGGAGAGCATGAGAAGATATTGCTTGTTCTGAACAGAAAGGAGCCTATTACTTTCATGCATGCATTCTCTCTTTTTTTTTTAATGTAAGGAGCATAGAATGTTTCAGAGGCTGAAAATATCCCTTTCCTGATTCTCAAATATACACAATACACATACCTGCCTGGAGGATTCAGTTTCTGACAAGAGGCTCACAGGGTACAATTACAAAGCAAAATTTCTTCAGCTTATCTTAGGGAAAAAAAACATTAGTCAAAAAATTAACTGCACTAGCTATGGGGAAGTGATCCACATTGCTTCAGGAGATTCAATAACTTTATTCTTCCTTACAGATTACTGGTAAAATACAGAGAGCTCTTAAGTGAAATTCAGAAAGGATGCAGAGGACTAAAAGACCAGCGTCTCAACATCTAACTTCTAAATACCCTGGAGACAAACACTGTAGCAGAGACCTGATGGCCTGTGCAGGAGTGAGGAGGGTTTGGTCCCCATGAGACCTCTCCCTGCTGAGTACTATCTGTGTGTGTTCTAATACAACTCTGTAAGGAGTCATATCTATAGCCAACAAGGACCCTTTTCCTATCCCTGTCTCACACAGGTATTGATGGCTGAACAGGACATGTAGGAATATTGTAAGGAGCCTCTTCCAAGATAGTGCACAAGTAAAATGAGGTGAATGCAGCACTTCTGCCAGATTGTGTGCTCCAAAACAGCAGTATGAGGCTGCTAGCATCCAGCGTGTTCTTATCCAGGCTCTGAACCAAAGCAAATGGCACTACAGAGAGTAAGTTTGAAGAGCAGAATATTTAATTGCAGAGTGGAAGGTGGAGAGGCATCAGTTCAAAAAACACATGTTGACAGGCAGCAAGGTTTACAAGATGAAGAGAAAGGAGAGCAGTATATCCATGGTGCCAGAACCTGGCTATGGGACTGGACTCTGTCACGTATTATGTATTAATTTGGCCCTTAGGACCTTTCTCATAATGGCTTTCTAATTAGTCAATGTAGGTAAGTGGAACAAAGGGCTGGGACAAGCTCCTGTTATGGGTTTTACCCCGAGAGGGTTAAAACACAGGAGCTGCATAGCTACAGAATGTCCTCCCAAAAGTCAACTTAAATTGCTCCCCAGAACTTGCTAGGAATCAAATGCACCTCGTAACAGCTAAATGCTCTTGAGGTCTAGGTTGTGTAGTTGTTATGCCCTGTACCTGTTATGCCCTGCACTCAACCAGTAATGGAAAGGTGGTGTGTCATGCAGAAAGAAACAGTGGTATGTGTCACCAGGTTTTCCTGACAACTGTCAGGTATTTGCCAGTGTCACCGCATTTGGTGCGGGAGGAGAGGGGAAAGGGAGCAAAGTTGTAATAAAGTGTTTCTTGCATTGGAGGAGAGTTAATAGCAAACAAAACATCTCTGATCAGAAAATGAAAAGACCACTCCAACCTTTCACTACACCTTTTCCCAACTTTTCTCAGGCATTTCTAGCATAGACTCTTTGAGAAGACAGATGTCCCAGAGCAAGTCCCTGGTAGTCACAGATTGTGAAGTAACGTGTAGTGAAGGGACCGTACTGACAACAGCCAGCTTTAGAGTGGAGGTAAGAGCCCATATTCCTGTGCCTGGCAGCTCATTGATACTACTGAATGCTGATATCTAAGCTGAAGTGAAACCTGGAGGACGAAGAGGAGGTTGCTGCCAGGCACACACCTCTCTGATGTTACAGCAAGGCACTAACACCATATGAAATTGTTGCCATGTGCTATGCGCTGGAGGCAGAGTAAGTACCAGGGGAAGAAACAAAGATTTCAGCTATAGAACATGATTGTAGGATAAAGATGCTTACCGTTTCAGTGAAGAAAAGGTAAGAATATATTAACACATTTGTGAAGGAGGATGTTTATGGATGCTCCTGGCTCCTTGTCAT